TAATATTTTATAATTTTTTGTAATCTTAATATTAAAAATGGTGACTATAACTTTATCTTTTGAAATGAATACATATAAAACCTTGAGATTTTAAGATGTGCAATAAGAATTGGTGATTTTATTTTTTATTTTTTTGTACTAACCTTTTGATATTTAGTAACCACATTGAATTTTGATTAATTCGGAATCGAACCATATCGAACTTCATCAAAGGAAGCTCTCCCAGCGCTTGTTTCTCCATTCACAAAACTCGAACTCGAGAATTTATTTAAAAGGAACCGATTTTCTTCCATTCAAACTAACATGTCGTTAAAATTACATAACTACTTAACTACTTAAAATTACATGAAATGAGCTAAATATTTTTATTTGTATTTTCTTTTCAATTTTTTAAATTAGAGGCATTTAAGACATTTAAACAAATTTCAAGTGATTATTTATATTTAATGTCAATCTCCCATATTTTAATATACATTTTTAAAATTACAAATTTATTACATGTATATTTTAAAACTCCAAGTTTTTATATACATTTTCCTTGTATACAAGCAGTTAAATGGCATCTTCCCTAAAAAAGAAATTTGAAAATCTCTAATAGAATCATGCTACAAACTTCATAGGTAAAATATTTTTGAGGATAGTGTATTATTAGTTCTAATAATCTTAAAAATATCATCCTTTAATAAACATTTTAAAGAATTAATATTTGAATCAAATATTTTATTTATCTAAATCATACACGTCAAATTTTAAATTAATGAAAAAAATTTAGCAATCTTAAATTAATGTTAAAAATATAATTTTTTGATTAAAATGATATAAATTTTAAATTAATTTAAAAATTGACATGTAACTATATCAATAAGACATAAAATATAAAATTATTTTTAAAATTATTTATTAAAATATGAGGCTCTGGAAATTGTAAATTTAATATAAAAAAAATTAAAACTAATATACAATATTCCCTAATATTTTGGCGTTGTTGGTCAAATAGTATGGCTGATTTTAATTTACCTGTCACAATCACCAAATTAATTTATCCAGATTTGGCTGATTTTGGCTCCCTTTTCTGGAACTAAAGGAAGCCAAAACAGGGGCAAAACGGTAACTGGACTCAAAACATTAGATTCTCAGAATCAAATTGAGGAATGCTAGGGACACTCGCCAATTGCATTCTCCAACTGGCACTTCTATTTTCATTGGGCCACGTTATTTTGGTGTCAGAGAGGTGATCATTTCATAGCGTAAGCAAGCTTACGTGGCCCAATAAAAAGGCAAGTGTTGGCTGGCGAGTGCAGGAGGCGAGTGCTCCTAGCACTGCTCAGATCAATTTATTAAAATCCAGGGGGGAGCGCCCCAATCAATAAAACCAGTCCGGAAACGGGAGAGGAGGTAAAAAGGAAACAGCGGTGGTGCTTTTCTTTGCCGTGAAACCGAAGTTAATGCTCCCCAGATAGAGAGAGAATAACCGCGTTTTTTGTTTTTATATCCATCAATCAGGAGAGAGAAGACGTCGCCCACCGGAGAAGGAAAACATCATCCGGCCGTCAATCTGCTGTTCTAACTTCTGGTAGACAGAATCCGGCAGACAGAAACTGTGATTTAGGACTCCTTCCATCCCTGTCTGTTTTCACACCAAGATTTGGTGCTGTTAGCTGTTGTTCTTGTGAAGTTGAGAAAAGGAAAATTTTCAAGCAGGAGGAAGAGGAGATGATGAGTTGGAGAAGAGTGCTGAAGTCCGTACAGGCACTGGCGGCGCATAGCCTTCTGTTGTGTTTCACGCTGTTGCTGCTTCTCAAGCTCAATCATGAAGTTACATATTCTTGGTGGTCAGTTCCTCTTTTTCTTTCTGTTATGTGTTTGCGTACATGGTTTGTGTTTTTCTGCATATATGCATGCATGTGTTGGTTTGAATTTGGTTTCGAATTGAAGGTTTTGTTCAGGTAGAGTAATCAGGGAGGGAGATAGAAATTTGCTCCTTTTCTTTCTGGGGTGGGGGTGGGAATAGAGGGTTGTTTGGAGGGATATTGAGGAAGGGGTTAGAGTGGAAGTACGGACTTCTTTCCTCTTCAATTTAATCCGTTTTGGAATGGCATACACAAATTTGCTAGAGGTGATGCTTGTATGACCCCATAGGGTGGTTGTGACTTTCTGTGGTGTGGACAAACAGAATAACTTGTGAGATATGATTTTTGTGATTACAAATTAGGGCAGAATTTATGGTTTTGGACTGCAAATTGATAAAATTATATATTCTCTGTGGTAGTGGTTGTTTGGCAATCAATATGATAGGAAATACAACCCTTTTTACATTCCTACTAGTCCAATTCATGGGATAGATATCAGACTAGAATTTGGGAATTAGGTGTGAAATTCCAAAAGATGGAGCTCAGGGACAAATCTCTGAAACAAATGCACTTGGAGCAGGTTGAGGATTTCAAGTGAATTTGTGTTCCCTCAATTAGTAGGATTAAGTATGTCCTCATACGCTGAAGATGGGAATGCTAAGGTTAATTTGCCACATTACTGTAATTCCATCTAATTTGAAGTTCATTTTGCCTATTAGGTTAGTTGAAAAGAATTGGTGCTCAGGGAGTGTTTATTAGGTGCTAGTGTCCACTGACATTTGGTTTTGGAGGGTTTTTTCTTTTAAAAACTTAAAAGATTAAATCAGACCAGGTATGGCACATTGGCACTACAGTAATCTCTTCAGCAGGCACCGACCCATTAGGCCAAACTTTTAGTTGAGATTTAAGAGGCTATTTTTGTCCCTGAATTGGAGTGAAAGGCTGTTTCAAAGTTATGTTCATGCTTAGCCTTACAAGCAGTCATTTATTTGTTGAACAGATGAAGCTTGAAGGTAAGAAGGTGCTTGAGTGAAACTGCTTTTATGATGATATCACTCTAAAAGTATAATGCAATAATTATTTTGTGTTTTCTGCAAATTTCTTTATAAATGAGAATCTCAAACTAACTACACAAAATGATTGTCCAACTAGAGGAACAACTGACTAGAAAGAAAGGAACTATTACCTTTCCCTGCTGTGTGGACTGGAGATATTCATCAGGTCTCTGTTCGTTCCAGGAAAAAAGTGATGTACAGATCATTTGTATAGCATCAGTTACTTGAATACATGGATTGATTCGATGTTGTTTTTATTTCCATCTCCAGAACTATGATTCTTGTTTGGTTATGACATTTGTTTTAGTAAATTCCTTGTTAATGGCATTTTTAGGGTTTAATTACCATATGTATAGTGGCTTTGATACGCAGGATAATATTTTTCCCACTTTGGATATTTCATTCAGTTGTTGCTCGAGGAAGGTTTTCATTACCTGCTCCATCAGTTCCACATAATCGTCAAGTATGTTAGTGTATTGCTATGAGTCTGTGTCCTATGTATTTTGTTTCAGTTGATCATCTTTGACTTGCTAACATCTTAAAATCCCTATCTGAGTAATGCTAAAATTTCAGTGTCATTATGAAGTTTTTGTATTGATGTTTCTATTTTTTGGACAGTGGGCACCTTGCCATGCCATTGTTGCAACACCGCTGCTCATTGCATTTGAACTTCTGCTTTGTATATATCTTGAGAGTGTAAATGGTAAAGATGAAAACTATCTGCAAATTGAATGTGTTTCACTTCCTCTTTAAATTTCACTGACTGATAGACATTAACTATTCTCCTCATGGATATCATTCATCCATGATAAGACATGTTCAAGCTGTCAAACTTAATCCTGACTTGTCTTTGTTACAGTTCATGGTTTTCCAGCTGTGAGCTTGAAGATTGTTATTCTTCCCTTGTTGGCATTTGAAATAATTATTCTAATTGACAATTTCAGGTATTCATTTATTATATAACTTCTGTAAGTATTTTATTTTTAGTCTATTGAGGAATCATGCAATACTTGTCATCAGAAAGATTTCCAATTTTAATTCATGCCTTTACTTGCTTGGATTAAGTAATTTTTTGGCCTACTTTCATTCTTTGGTAGCAGCAGGATTTTATGCTAATCCCAACTTCTGGGCATGTTATTTATTTACTTTTTAGAATTTCCCTGTTTCTCTTGTACTATTTTAGTTTAAACAAGTAAAGAAAGTTTTTGAAGAATCAAACAGGATGGTATCCAATAGTTACTCAACTAAAAATTCTAGAATCTTGAAAAAGGTCTAAAGAACAATGCAGAACTTTTATTGTGTTTGTTCCAGGATAATAAACACAAATGTGGAAGCTGGAGCCTGGGGGGCTACGAAGGGTAGTACACTAGTATTGTTAGTCTTTCTGAAGCATTGGAAATATGAGCATTCTCCCTTTGCACCTTGTAATGGAGACAGTAACTGGGATGTTTAGAGCCCTGCCTCATGCCCCTTTTCTTAATTTACTATCTAAATGTGTGTATACTAGATAGCTTCTAAAAGCAAAAGCCTTGGGCAAGGTGGTGACTTCTAATGTAAGCTTTTTGATTTTTAAAAAAAAAAAGCAAAATGGGTTGCTACTTGCTATATGTTAAGGCATTTTTTAAAAGAATATAGTAGCTTTATTTATAGATATGTGCTGAGAAACTTGTGACTTGAAAGTATTCTGCCAGAGGAAGCTAAAAGCTAGATAACAATAGCAGCTAAATTCCCTAAAAGTAACATAAGGTAAACTTAAAACTGACCATTTATCATGGGCACCTTAACTTCATTTTAAAATATGTATCTCCCATGGAGTAAATGTGGAGCCTACTTTTTCTAAGGAACATGTAATATGGTCATCAAGGGATGACTTCAACCAAACCAAGTTGTATGCAGTCCCTAGTAGACCAGAGAATTATATGTTGGAGTAAACCTCAAATATAAAATGCACAGAAATCTGTTTTCAATGTTTTCTTGACTTTTGATAAAAGAACCATAGCTCTTTTCCCTTTTCTAACAAATTGTAAGAGGTACGGATGCAAACTGAGTTAGAATTGCTAAAATAGGGAAAAATATATGCCTTGAAAAAATTAATCCTTAGAGGCTTCTTGTTAGCTGAGGAAATGTGGATTAGGATTATAGTGAGGGCAGCAAGTGCTTGATATTTTATACACTTCTTCTTGTTTGATTGTGGCATGAGTGATTTTCTTCTATTAGTCACTTTAAATAAATTATCGGTTCCTGCTAATTATTGATGTCTATTTCCTGTTCAGAATGTGTAAGGCTTTGATGCCAGGAGATGGTGAAAACATGAGTGATGAAGCAATATGGGAGACACTACCTGTAAGTTTTATTGAAAATAGTTCTATTGGAAATCTTGATTGGCATAGCTTTTGTTATTAATCATATCAAAGATTTTAGGGAATGCAATTGCAAAAGTAGAGATTAATATTGATAATGATATATGTAAATTGTTTGGAGAATGAACCTTATGCACTTTTGGCATGTCCAAATTATTTGAAGTCTTTTCTTTTTATGGAGGAAATGGATGAGTAACCATACCACGGATGATTATATTGTAGTTTCATTGTAAAAAACTGCTAGTTGAAGGACTACATTTACTATTGATTGTAAATGAGTTCAATACAAAGTTATGTGATTCATATCAAACACAATCAATTGTAGATAAGCTGAATTTGGTTAATTCATTGTTGGATATAAGAGTGGTTGTTAAGCAACTTCATATTTATGATTTGCAGCACTTCTGGGTTTCAATTTCCATGGTCTTCTTCATGTCTGCTACAGTCTTCACCCTTCTAAAGTTAGGTGGTAAGTTTACCATTCTCAGATTGGGGTTGCACATGAACATTTTTCTACCCTGAATAGCCTTTTGTTGTAGTATCCTTAGACTCGTATTTATGTAATTCAGTAAGCACTTTTTATTTTAAAGGAAGAGTGATTTATGGAAAAGTGATAAGTCAGTAGAATATTTGATAGCGTAGATTATCCACTTCAATAAAATTACAGTAGTTACTGAACTGGGGAGAATAGAGTATATGTCATTTTTTCTTCATAAAATAGAATAAAAAGGAAGCTATTTTTTGCTTGGATATGTTCCTGTTCTTTATGGAGTTGGGGGAGATATTCTCTTTTTCAAGACCAAACCTAGTTCCGTCTGATACAGTAACATTTTGCTTTAGGGATTGTTATGTCTTTTATGGAATTGTGGTTGCACATTGATGTTCCTTGAATCCCACAAAGCTGTGCATGTATTGTGACCCTCCAAAACCTTTAGAACTTAAGAAATCAGGTCTTTAAATCTTTCTTCTGTAGTGCCATATTGTGATTAGTCCAAGGTTGGCTATGGATGAAGGATTTTAAGTTGAAATTTTGCAAGAAAGTGTGAAGAAAGGAATTTCAAATTCTTTTTTTTTTTTTCAAGTGAGGCAAAGAGATTATAGTTATGTTGGAGGAAATCAAGATTTGGAGGGATTCCAAAAAAACTACTAAATATTTTAAAATGACAAGTTGTACTATAACCATAACATTTTTGACATGAAATGTCATTTACAGAAGGAACTTGAAATTCCTTTCTCTCATCTTTACTGAAATCCCTCCGGAGAATCTTTCATCATACAAAACTTGAAGGTTATTCTTTTCTGTGTGATAATTCCAATTTTGGTGGAAACCGTTTGTGCTTATCCTCAACTAATGGTGCAGGTGACATAGATGCTCTTGGCTGGTGGGACTTATTTATAAATTTTGGGTATAGTTCCCTTGCTTCTAATGTCATGTTACTTTGTACTCGAGTTTTTTACCATATTTTGGCAATGGCTACCTTAAAACACAGCAGGAAATCATATTTGAGCTTTTTGCATGACTGTAATAGGATTGTGAATGTGAATATTTTTCCATGCAGTATTGCGGAGTTCTTTGCTTTTCTTGTTTGTACGAGGTGGACTAATCCAATAATTCATAGAAATAATACAAGGGAGGTCAGGCCTTCATCACAAACTATCCGGAGTAACTGCTTAATTGTCTCACCAGAGGAGGATCAGCATCAGGATGGAATGTGTGGCCTGCAAGATATTGGTGGCCACATTATGAAAGTTCCAATAATTGGGTTTCAAATCCTCCTTTGTATGCGTTTAGAGGTATGAACCTTGTTGGTAGTAATTGCCGCTGGTGATTGATAGATGTTTGTTATTAACAAATCTGTGTTGGTTTCAAATGTCAGGGAACACCTGCTGGTGCTAGATATATACCACTTCCAGTTTTATTCACTCCGCTAATCCTACTGCAAGCTGCTGGTGTGCTCTTTGCTGCATCTAGGTTGATAGAGAAAATTGTACTTCTACTTCGGACAGGAGCTGGAACAGGAATATACTTCAGATTTTCTTCAAAAGTACATGATTGCTTGGGTTTCTTGCACCATGGTTCCAGGTGACTTTTTTTTTTTTTTGGCTTAAGTAGATCTGTAACCTAAATGTTGTGCTCTTTATGAATTAATGTAGTGAATTTTGGCTCTTTAATTCAGGTTGCTGGGCTGGTGGTCCATTGATGAAGGAAGTCGAGAGGAACAGGCCCAACTTTACTGTGAGGGGGCTTCTGGGTTAGTATAGTTTTTCCTTTTATGTTTTTGAGGCATAAAAAATTATGTTGTAAATTTTTTATTTTCCTCTACTTGGTTTCCTACCACCCACAAGAGGTTGGTGTATGCATTGCATGCAGTTGCACCATGATAATACACACACAGCAATGGAAGTAAAATCATTAAGGACCGAAAAATTCAAAAGCAAACAACTGCAGGAATTAAGGAATTGGTTTGATGAGATTAAGAGGAACAATGGTATTGAAGATGCTTGTTTTTTGAAGAAACTTGAAACTCTGTTAGAGGAGCCTGCTCACAATTATAATTTAGTTTGGCATGTAAAGTTGTTAAGTTATGCTTTGGGATGTTAATAATTATTTTAATTGTCTAATCAAACATCCTGTTTAATGTTGAATTATTGTTAAAGTAGCGTTAAGATTGTCTCTTTCCTCTTTTCCACCCACATCTAATGCTGTGGTTCAAATTTGTACTGCCTGCCTTCTCTCTTTTTCTAACATGCACCTATTTACCGCCAATGCAGGTATAACACCTTCTGTAGTTACTCCCCTGAAATAGTTAGGAAGATGCCTAAGAAGGATCTTGCAGAGGAGGTGATTTGTTTATATATGCCCTTCTTGTGCTACTCTTGAAGACATTGCCACTTGCTTCTTTGTGCTTATATTTCGTTAATAAATTTTTCTCTCTTTTCAATTTTTTATTTGCCTTTTTTTTTTTTTCCTTTTAGTTTTTTTGACATTCATTCAATGTGATGCATTGGCAAATGCATGAAATTTACTAATCTTGATGCAGCCTGTGCATCTATTACAGTTTGGTTCTCTTTCATCTCAGGTATGGAGGCTTCAAGCAGCTCTTGGCGAGCAGGCAGAAATCACAAAGTTTAGCCAGCAAGAGTTTGAGAGGCTTCAAAATGTAACATTCTCAACTTAACAGCTTGTTAACCTATGGTGAAATAGTCAATTCAGTAGCTTTGCTTTCTGTGAAAATAGTTTATGAGTGTGATGTCAATATTTCATCATATGCATGTCCTTGTTCCATTGATCATTGTTAGCCTTTGTAGCTCTTACTAGTTTACATCCTTTGATTTTTGACTTCATTGTCCTTGCATGATTTTGTCCTTCCAAGGCAATCAGCTGATAAAGAACATTATGTTCTGACTTGAATATTGTGTTTGTTGCTAAAATAGATTGGTTATGTGGGGAGATACTAATTGGAAGTTCTGATTTTGGACATGAAAAATTTGTTAGTGTTTTTTCCTCTTCTGATCTTTTGTTCTTTGGTTTTATTTGATTGTAATAACAACTAATTTGCTGATGGAAATTGTTTGATATAAGATGATTGGAGACAAGTTTCTGCCTAATGAAAGAAAATATGATTGAAACTAATTTGTTTCCTTGATGGAGGAAATGAGAGATCTTTTGATGTAATTCATCCAGGAAGGAGAATAGGGGGAAAAGAATAGGGATTTGGGTGACATTGTTATAATGTAATCTCTATTTAATTGTGGTTCTAACTTATTCCAAGCAGCATAGCATATTTCATACGTTACTACATTAGTTATGGTACCCATTTCTTCATTACTAATTAATGATGTTTCTGCATTGTTATAATGTTATCTTGCTTTACTTTCCAGGAAAAAGTATTTTGCAGAGTCTGCTTTGAGAGAGAGATTACTGTGGTGTTGCTTCCATGTAGGCATCGTGTTCTTTGCAGGTATGCACATTATGCTGTTGCTGTAGAATTTTTCAGCATATAACCTTATGAAAGCTTAATCATATCCGCATTTCATAACATTATAGAGCGATGACATTGCTTATTATTCTGTATGGATGCAGTGCGTGCTGCGAGAAGTGTAAAAAGTGTCCCATATGCCGTGTCTGCATCGAGGAACGCTTACTAGTATATGATGTTTAATTACTACCTTGGCAGCCTGCTGATCAAATAAAAACTACCTTGGCAGCCTTTTTTTTTTGTGACAAGGGGATACACAGCTAAAGATCAAATGACTTTTATAGGAAAAGTATATATATTTCGATCGAGATTTACCCTGTTAACTTGTAGGGTAATGACATTGCTTGTTCAAATTGGCGGAGCTACGATTTGGCTGTATATATATAGTGTGGCCAAGCCATAATTACATGGAAGATTTTTCCCCTGTATTTTTATTTTCAACCTTAGACATCTTAAATATAGTTTCATGAAGTAGTTATTTCTTGGGTTTTAATGAAGTTCTAGCATTGTTGTGAAATTTATTTCATTAAATTTCTCAAGATAAAGTTCTATAATTGATACTCTCCCGCACACTCACACACTTTCCTCCTGATGTGGGATTGAACGCCACAACAGGGGAGTTGTTATTCTCAAACATGGTCATCTGCAAGTACAACAATATGTAAAAATCTGGAGGAATTATATGTTGATCCGATGATTTCATCTTCACAGAAGAAGTGAAAGAAATATTGATGTAAATGAAGGAGGTAAATTAGTCACAATTAGGCGGTGATTGCCAGCGGTTCTCGATCAGATTTGGGGACGAAGATGCCATTTTTGCTGGCTGCTGGCTTGCTTATCGCTTTCGGATTCTTGTCGGCGATCTTCTTGATGAAGTCGTCGAAGCACTCGTTGACAGACCGGAAGCATTCCTTCGGATAAAGAGAGCAGACTTCAACATCGGTGGGCTTGTCCAGGCAGAAATTTATTTGGCATCCCTTTATAAAGATGTCATGTGTAAATGCTGCCACAACACTCTGTGGGATGCGCATCTCTACATACATTCATGAAAAGAAAAGGTGAATATCCCTATAATTTTCTTTATCTACCACACCATTTGTTGCATGTACACAATAAATAACAATTTTGGGATCATGAAAGGAGATATTATGTCTTTCACACAATAAAATGTGTGCATGTTAGGTCGGAATTCATAAGTCATATATATATATATATATATATATTTTTTTTTTATGTTAGTTGTACAATGAGAAGCACTCTCTTTTGTCTTTTATCTCACATCTTATCCGTATGCTATGCATTCATATTTAGGACCTCTTATTTTCAATGAAAGAAAATTACTAGATGATTGGCTTTTATATAAATATTTTAATTTAACTATTAAAATGATGAATTTATATTTTGTAATATATCTCAACTAATTCAATTTAAAAATTAACTATAAAATTTACACGAGTGTTCTTGAGCTGTATTTAGCATTTTTTTAGAGGGGGGAGGAGTGATTGCAACCAAGTGAAGGGATTAAATGAGAGAATTGAAACAATAATTGTAGAAATAGGGTTTGGTTGAACGGACCTTTGGCTCTGTCAAGGAGATCATCTTCTGTGACGGTAACCCTAGGAAGAACGCGGCCAATTTTTTCCTCCCATAGGGAAGCCATCTCATTGATGTTCAGTAGATTGCTCGGTGGCCGGAAATGCACCGATTTTTTGATTGTCCGATCATCGTCTATTGTTGCTATCGTGAACTTTCCGATATCAGACCCCGCCACAAAATATGCTGTGTATTACAAAAAAA